CTACCAGGCAGCTTCTTTCTATGTCCCAGTGACAAGCATACTCAGGAATATTCCCATGCCTCTTACCAGGCAAGAGCTTGTGGCTTTAAATTTGTTCTTTCAATGTCCTACAATTTATACATAATGGATATGGAGAATATCATTGTTACACACGTCAAGCCGAGGGGACCACAGAGGGTGTACAGTTTTAGGCAGCAGGCCCAGAAGCTGAACCTGATGACCTCTTGAATAGCTTTTGCTGAACTGGTCCTATTAATGGACTGGATCAATGTCACTGCAAACAGCAATGAAAACTGAAATTCCTCCTGTTCTAGAGCATATGTTACATAAACAGCTGTCCAATGCATGACGGAAAAAACAGATGAATGTCTCACTAATGATGCCTATCGTGCAAACCCTACAGATTTCAAATGCTCCAACAAGGGCCAAGAAATGCATTCTTGGTACAGCCTAAAAGTCTATACCCTGCCCTCAGTTTTCACTGACATTGATGGGAAGTTCTGCCCTCTACTTGAGGACAACTCTCAACATTACTGAAGGCAATAGCTGCTCTCTTATTTATTTCCAACAGAGTGATCTTCAGGTAAAGCTGGATGGAACATCTTAGCCATCTCAGCCAACATCTTGTCAATAATCTACAGCCTTCAGACACCTGTGTGAACTACAGATCAGATAAGCAAGCAAATGCTTCTATTCTACCGTAGTTCTGAATCTTGGATTCATCCAGGAACCTTTAAGCCACAGGTTCACTTTAGGCATCAGTACAGCAATCAACAGGAAATTTGTATAAATCCTTTGGCAAAGTACTGCTTCACTATATAAATGCTCTTCTCCTCTAGGGTTCACAGGAGTTCATTATCAAAACTGATAATGTAGCAATTAAACAGCTGGTTAGCAAAATGCTTAAGATGATAGATAATTAATACAAAACTGCAGGTCAGAAATGTTGCCTCTAGGAAATCAAAAACACATTTCTTGGCAAACAGCCAAGCTTATAATATTGTTCCTTCATCTAAATGCACGTTACCTCCTTTAGCCATCTCTGGACACATATGAGCAACAGGAAGTCAACCTCCCATGCTAATTTTAACAGAGCCAGCAAACTGATCGTTGGTCATTTGTTCTGCTTTGCAGAGCAGTGTGGAGAAGGCTTGTTTCTGCCTACTGCACTTCTGCCTCACTCCAGTACTTCTACTAGTCCTTTCTTCCATAAGTTGCATGGGCTGTAACTAACTTGACAAAGGAACTAACAGGGGAAAGCCAACTCAGTACACCCTTGCAGCTTCCACACAGCTGGAAACCAGTGCACTGGTGGAGGACCACTTCACAGTGACCCCAGCACATGTGGGAAAGAACAAACCCTGCTTCTCCGAGGTGTCCCCTCAGAGCTAAACCACAGGTGTGTGTCATTTTATTGCTACAGGACACACCAATATCGTAAAAATAGTGTACAACCCTCCTTCAGCAGGGTCACTCACTTGGCTCTCTTGGCCAATACTCGCCTCTTGTGTCCCTTCCCTGTCCCTCACCTCCTGTGCCTGCTCCCTGGTGTCAAATCAAGAGGATGCCCCATGCTCTGCTTCTCCTCCTAACACCCTCCAGGCACACCGGGCAGCCTTTTGGTAAGGGCAGTGCTCTCCCTGGGCTCAGGATGGTTCCCAATGAAGATCCTGGCTCTTCCCACAGACCCAACAGTCAGGTCTGTTATGATCATGTTTCCACCCCTAATGGATTATGCCTTTTAAGGAAAGAATCAGCTTCACCATCATGTGTCCAAATTCATGTGGGTTTGCCCCAAACTGGGGAAAAAACACAGTCCAAAAGGACAGGCTTTTTCAACCCTTCTAATTAAAAACCTGACCCAGTTCTGGACACTAAAACTCTTTAAATGATGAGAGTTCACTAGTTCATCACCTGGACTCTGGTGCCTGAAAAGTGCCCCGGGAGAGGAAGCAGGCTGCGCTGGCAAGGGACCAGTCCGTGCAGGGGGCAGCACCCAGAGGATCCTTATCTCCTTTGCCCCATTCACTGACAAAAATCAGGAACAACTGAAAATTCAGTTCTACTAAGAAAGGCTTCCACTGCTTGCTTTCTCATGACAAGAAGTGCACCTCAATATTAATCTAAAATTGTTACTCAAATTATTTTTACTTTGCTTTAAAAATAATAAAGCTTTAAAAATATTAAAGCTGTGCTTTAAAAGTCATCTATAGAGGCCAGTATTATAAATGTTGAGGAAAGCCAACAGGGAATGGAGAAAAAATATTTGGAAAATCAAAATAGCAGCATTCTTCAAATTATTTTACCCAGGACCACTAAAACCAGACAAGAAGTAGGACTGTAAGGCACCTCAGTGGTGTAAACGCTTGGGCCAAGATTATCATCAGTTTGAATGAGTGGATCCAGCACAGATAATTTTATGTATTTGAGACTTACTGTAGTTTCTGGGCCCAGCTTCAGCAAGTCATTTAACCATGTGCCTGACCTTACATACTTTAAGGAGCCTGACTGCATGCAGGAGGCAAAGAGTCTATCTTTCAAGAAATTAGACAACCCTGCACTTTGGACAATGCCTGAAACTAATTCCAAGACTAACACTGAACCCGTTCAAATGGAAGCTCACAACAGAAAACTAGAAACCTCTTCCAGAAATCAGAACCCACCTGATCTAGATTTAGCTGGGCATAAATATTTGCACTGCTCTTTGAATGGGCATTTGCTTTGGGATTAAATATTCATAGTTAACCAGCCATGCTTAGTCATTTTATTTTAATATTAAGCCACACTATGCAGGGTGGTAACTCCAGTGAATGGTAGCACCAAGATTTAAGAAAAAATGTTGTAGTGTTATTACAGAGAAGCAACAAACAGCATATTTTCATAAGTTTTCTGAACATAGCAATTGCTCAAAGAAGACTGACTGAAGTGTGATTTTTCTTAGATGATTATTTGCTCGGAGTTATTTTAAAATGCTGATACTAAGGGGGTGGAAGAGGTAGGAGGGGAGGGATACTAAAAATAATGATAAAAGGTCCGTGGAGGGGATGTATGTGTGTGCTCATACCTGCGTGCATACACAGGTATATGCATATGTATGTATGCTAAATATCCATGAGAATTAATATAAAATACTGTGTGGGGAAGGGATCTGTATACACAGCAAGCTGCAGTCAGGATTATTACCTTTGGATTTTGGAAGCCAAAAAAGTAAAACAAACATACATGAGTCTAGTTTGGGTGGCAGCCTGAAACGAGGTATATTATATGGGTGCCCTACCAGAGAAATCAAGGCGAGCCTGGAGAACAGTATTGCTTTGTTCACCCAACACATGAATGGAACATGAGGGGATAGTTTGTGTGGGAGCACTAAGGGCCCATTGATTAATTAAGAACTAATCTTCCTCATTTTAAAAAGAGCAACACACAGGCTCTCTTTTGCAAGTAGGATATTTGTGGATTATTTTGCCATTCCTTGAATTAACAGGCGGCTGCATAATTCTGGAGACAGTGACAAAACAAGATATCAATCTTAGCAGCCTGGATTTTTGTGTAGTTCCAGGCCGCTTTTGGATTTCCTAACTGACTCTGGTAGATCCCAAGCAATAAAATCCCAGTGCCTGAGGTCTTTCAGCATGGGGGCTGGGGGGGCATTGTATGCATGGCACTGAGGATTTGCCATTCACAGTTAATTCTTAACAAGCCTTTGGCCACTGCCTCAGTGATGGGGCCAAACCAAAACCCAGGATGCAAGCGGTTCACAGCCAGATCCCAGTGTCTTTAGTGTGCCCCATCGTTTGTAGCTCAGGAGGAGTACAGCTCTGAATCTAGATTAGAAATAGCTGCCTTCCTGTTTTAAAGCATTTAAGGAATTTCTAACATACTTGAAGTCTGTACATGTAAATATTTAAAAAAAAAAAAACTGAAAAATGAATGCATTTTTTAGGGAGACAGCAGACCTACAGTAATTTGTAGTTGGAGCTAATATACCTGATCCCGCTCCCAGAAGATAGTCAATGGTCCTCTTAGAAATGGGATTGCACCCTGAGTAACCTCTGATAGTCCCAAGCCAAATGTAACCTACAAAAATCTTTTGAAGCTTACTAGGCAAATGGGGACCCTTCTCCACTTTCTACAGTGCAGTCCTTCTGAAAAAGAAATAAAAACTAGTTCATCTACTGAGTCAGTCATCCCTTCTCCCACTCCACAAAACTTTGCGTAACCCAACTTTTCTCACAGGATTCGGGAACATTGAATGCCTCACTGCCTACATTTGGGTTCCCCTGCAGTCCACTGGTCTCAGCACTCTGAAACTGGTGATGATTTATACCACAAAGCAAACATCTTCTGTAAATAAGAGACAGACACTGAGCACATAAAGAACAGAAACTGAAAAATCAATCTGGTGTTCAGTTTAGCAGGCAGAAAGTGTTCAAGTCCTCAAAGACAAAAGCTCTGTTTACCTGAAGAATCAAGCAATACAGATGGAAAATAAGAGGAAAGGAAGGGGGACATACACAATGCTGCAAAATGCTTCACTGTTTGCTGTGAGAGAGCTGCAGTTCTCTCTGATCAGGCTCTTTGCAGTGAGTTTCCAGGGCCATCAGCTTTCTACTTGTCCATTTTCACAAGCCATAACGTATAACCCATGGGTCTGGTGGGACTTTGCAAACAAGAAACAAGGTAGCATCTTGGAAACCATCAGTCAGAAGGAAAAACATATTTGGGAGTCCTTACTCAGACAAATATCCCACCAGAGCAGACGTGGACAAGGACCTCCACAGATAGTCCCTTTCACCATCAGCCAGCAATGGGAGCAGGTGTGGACAAACTTTTTCTGTTTCTCTCTCTGCTTTCCCTTCCTTTCCCTTCTTCTGCCTTTTGGGTCACACCCTAGGATGTTTTTGTCAACATCAATGTGATACTTCGGGTTAATACAGGCTAACCAAGTATGCATGAGGAGCTGGCAAGCGGAGCTGGAGCTCAGTGCAAGGGTTACTCACCTTCCACTACCACAGTTGCAGGTTTCGAATAGGCTGTGCCCAGGCTGTTCTTGGCAACACATCGATATTGTCCTGCATCTTCTCTCTGAACGTTGTGGATCCTTAAATTCCCTGAATCAAGGATAGCAATGCGAGCATTCTCCTGGCAGAGGAAGAAGTGATTGATGTGAGGGATCTACATGCAGGCTGCACACAAGCAGCACCAAATATCCGCTTGCAAAGATTGGGCTTACACGCATGAAAATTATTTATCTTGTCCTACAACTGAAGGATTTAGGGCCAGCTCTTCCTGCTCAGCGTTGTCATGACACACTCACCCATCCCTGGTTTTGCAGATCAGTGAATTAAAGCTTCAAAAGAGCCCTGAATTTTAGCTAGGCTGCTCAGTAGCTCTTAGTTATGAGAACACTAACAAGTGCATTCAGCAGCATTTGGCAACACTTACTAGTAATAAATATGTATAATATAAAATCTAGATACACAGAGAATATTTGATTTATAGGCAGAATTATTGGAGATGCAGACCTTTGAGATGAGCCCTGGATTTTCCAAATGCTTGCTTCCTAGCAACTAGAATTTACAAATGCTGTAGGTGATGCTAATATTCTAACACAGTACCTTTAACAAATAGTTAGCATTACTTAAATTTCACTTCTACTCACCTTTACAACTGTTTCTCCTTTGATCCATGAAACAGAAGGTTTTGGATTCCCCATTGTGGTGCATGGAAGAACAGCCTTTAACCCTTCTATTATTTCCACATTTATCGGTGGTCGGGTTATTTTGGGTCCTAAAATTTGAAAAGTCTAAAATTAAAGTTGAACTGAAGCTAATATATACTAGAATAGGACAAGTTCAGAAATTACAACAAAATCTCTCCTGCTTTTTCTGTACATTGCTGAAAGATAGAGTGGTCTTAGTAGGTCATGAGCTGCCTTGGAAAGAAAAAACTTTCTTAAGCACAGCATTCAGAGTTTCAGTTTACGGACACAAAAGCAGCTAACTTGCATAGGTTATTTGTTTTCAGCAGTGGAGTTTGACAGTCATTTGAATTAGGGCCTGGGCTAAAATCCAAATCCAGATAAGAGTATTTCCAATATTGAAGAATGTTTGCATTCCAGGATTTGACATTCTTCACTGCATAAACAATGTCTTGCGTGAAAACTCAGATCTGGAGTGAATCGGTTTTGAAATAGTTTTAACCCAGACTTGTCTTTAGCTCAGCAAGAAGGGCATGTAAACTCAATTAATGTCCCTAATTGAAGGATTTATAACTATGCTAGTAAAAAGGAGAAAGAATCCTTAAAGAAAACAAAAAAACAATCAAGCTCCCTTAAAGTTAATATGGGACTAATTTAAATCCATTTTACCCAAAGAAATACATGGCTTAGCTTACTCTGAACTGGGAGTAAAAAACATCTTAATCTCAGTGTTTTGGGACATCTGAAGTTTTGCCTCCCTTGCATGATACTGAACCAGCAGAAAAATGATCTTCAGAGAGCATCAACTCCTGGCCCCCATGTGCAGGCGACTGGGGTGCTGGAGAGCCCCAGAATTACGAGACTTGGAGGGTCATGCTCATTAGTGCAAACAAATCCTTTACTACACACAGATGCTTTAGCCAGGATATATCTCAGCTGCCCTTTTAAGTGTTTGTGTAAATAACTGCAGCCATGTGAGTCCAGCTTGACTGAGTTCAGCACGTATATAGCCCCTTGCAAGAACCAGTCCTCAGCCTTCCACGTGGGATGATGAGATTTACACCACTGTGCTCCAGACCTTTCAAGACTGCTATTAAGAACATCTGAACAGCATTTACTTGCTTTTGCCATCCTCAGGCATAAATCTGATTAGTGAAATCTTATGTTTAAAATTCACAAGGGATTTATGCAGTATTGCTATGGAGGTCTAATCTATCAAATTGTGCTGCTTTTACGAAGTTTTGTACAAAGGGCGTTCTTCAAAGCATTGTATTTTATCCCCTGCTATGCAAACATTTCCTCTGATCCTAGCACAAGTGTGCGTTATTCAAAGTGAATAATCACAACTGCTTTTAGTTAAGATATGATCCAATATGCTATGTTTCTGCCTCAAAGAACTGCACCCAGCCCCACAGGAACATAGGTCTGCCCTGAATACTGACCGCCGGGGGCCATACCTGGGGGTCTGCTCAGGCTCTCAATTACACGCTCACATGGTGTCAGGAAGAAATTACATTCTTACTTACGCATTTTCACTTGGAGAGCCCCACAGCTCTGCGCGGCTGCTCCAACCCCATTATCCGCCGTGCAGCAGTACACCCCATCATCACTGTCCTCCACACTCAAAATGGTCAGGAGCTGCCCATTTCTCTGTATGCTGTACCTGGTGTCGAACAGCCTGCGGGGCACAGCACAGATTGTCAGGGGCGGGGGGACAGCTGGGGACAGACAGGGGGAATTGCATTTGTATCTGCAGACCGCTGACGACACTACAAATGGCAATAAGTTTTACTTTTTATTTTCAACCTGCAAAGAGAAGGGAAGGCACTGAAATTGTTGAGTTGAGCCTTAAGATTTGGTTTGGTCCTAATTAGAACATGTGGTTCTTGACTGCCACCAGCGTGGTGGCAATTCTTCCTCCAGTCAGGTATTGGTAAAGCAAGTACATACCACAGTTGGGTTTCTGTCTGGCCAAGGACAGGCATAAGCAAAAGTAATCTTATCCAGCTGGGTCCTGTTTTAGATATAATCACTTAGTGCAAGGGAAGGACTGCCTATATAGGAACTGGAACTGGCTGAAGTTTTTTAAAGAAACCTTCTTCAGATTAAAAAAAAAAACAAAACTCTTTTTTTCACTAAACAGATAATGTTATGGAAAGATATTTAGTGTTGCAGAAAAAAGATGCAAACCAAAAAACAAGTATTTTTGTGTCTGCATCCAGGAGTGGTTTTGTCTATTTTTTGGAAAAAAAAAAAACCAAACCAACAAACAAGCAAAGAAATGCACTGAAGAAAAGAAGCCATCTAAAGATTAGAGGATGCAAGGATAGTTACAGTTTAATGACAGCAGGCTTTAACCTGGAGACTTCAGAGAAGTAAAGAAAAGCCCAGAAGGTGGAGCAACAAAGGTACGAGATATTGTAACAAAGTCTGCAGAGCAAAGACCAATTCTGTTTGTAAGCATGGAGTCTGCACGCTTGTGTGTGTGTATGTGTGCAAGAGCAAGGGAGAGACAGAAAGAGAGGTGGTAAGAAAGCAGAGGGCTGATCTCTGATTTTCACTGAAAAACTGGAAAAGTTTCAGTGGAACAAGATTTGCATAACATTTCATAAATTCCTCCATGTTTGATTTTCACACCTTTGTTGATGCTTTTTGGAAGCACTTTCATGCAATTGGCCTTTGATCCTGAAGAACGGTAGCAAAAGGGATCTGACCTGAGGATTGTCTCCCAAACTATCACAAATACCTGATGTCTAAGTATGTCCTGTTTTGCCTATTACTGTTAAAAACTGTACAGCAGTCACAGAGTAGTCTGAATGTGCCATTTATGATGTTACAGGCACATATTTCCTTTCAACAGCTTTTTGCCTTTCAGCCTGGTATCTCCATCCTCTTTTTCACCCTGAGAAGAAAGAGTACAATGAACTCATCCATCGTAAAAGATGTGCATGCTCCATTCCCTTCTTTCCCTGAGGAAGGCTCAACCCAGGCAGTCCTGCCCTGGGAGATGGGGCAGGTAACCGTTTCACTCAGCACAGGGCACCTGTCAGTCTACATGTACAGGTCGGGACGCCAAAAGGAAAGGTGCTTCCAGAAGACTAGTGCTGACAAGAGCCTCTGTCCTGGCACTATTCCCATTGAAGCTGAATGTTTACATACTCTTTTGTTTTGAAGGTTAGCTTAGCCTTCTGTTCAGGGTGCTGGGACCTTGGCAAGAGAAGAAAATTTTGTAAATAAAATAACAGATATTTATTGCTTGCAATAACCAGCCCCTTTGAAGTTTGATACATAGACACACACAAGCACATAAATGTGTTTATATGTTTTTTTCAGAAAAAAAAGCGCACTGATCTGATCCTTTTCCATTGCCAAATACTTTCATCCATGTTCTTGGAAAGCAATAGAAATATTTTCAGCTTATTTATTTCCCTGTCTTTGGTCTGAGTTTTTGTATCCAGCAGCACTGACTATTAATGCCAACACAGCTTTGGGAAAGTGAAATAGTTGCTGCTATTAATGTTGCTCCAGAAGACCCAGTAAAGGAACGAAGCACCCGAGCTCTCTGGTCTCACCAGCAGAGCTTTTTGATCAGTATTTTCCGTTTCGGCCAAGGTCGTGAAAAAGGCACTGTGCCTCAGAGAGAGACGGATGGCTTTTAGAAAGGTGTGTTGGGCTTCTGGAAGTGGGGACTGGGGTGAGAAATGATCTGGTTTTCATATGATCTTAGAACATAGAGAGAGTGAAGTTTTAAAGACCTTGGCATGTAATCTCCATGGTCCTGCATGGATGGCTTCCTCTTCCAGCTTTGATTTTCAGGCATGGTGTCACTGATGGGGAAGGAATTAGGACAAAGGTGACCTGATTTGGAAATAATATCTGTGGAAATTCAGACCTCTATACTGCAACAAGGCCGGGGTCACAGGGTTGGGACTGGGGTTTTGCTGAGATTCTGTTGCAGGCAGTGAAGAAAAGATTTCTGAAAGCCAGTGTGCATATGGGTAGTGTTCTGCTTTTCTCCTATTCTAAAATGGTCTTCCTAGCAGTAAGACCTCCTTCTGCTGCTGACTTAGTTGGAGTTTCCCGAGCCAATGGTTCAAGGGCTCTTTGGATGTTTGACCCCCGATAGCAGGAACTGTGCTTCAGGTGACCATCTGCCTAAGATGGACATCTCTTGTGGAGACCAGGCCTTAACTGTGTTACACAGAGATTGTTCTGTAATTTTCCCTTACAGAGGGAGTCACTAACAGTGATCTAGAACAAGAAACTGATGTGAAGCCATATGGCAGACGTAATGTGATTTCAGAGTTGGAAGATCAGGTACAGTTTAATTTGCAAGAGCTTGTCTGCAGCAGCAGAGCTAAAGCAATGGTAGCAACTTCCATAACATGTTTCCAAGGCTGCCTTCTTCGGCAGCACCTTGATGCCTGGTGGTTAATGTCTGACTGTGCATAACAACAAGAAGCCAGTTTTCTACTGTCAGATCCAGAACTAGAAGCAAACAAGAATAGGATGATATGACCCCTTCCACGCAAAGTTTCCAAGCACATTGCAGACAATCAGGCAACAAGTCTGGCAATGCTTCTTTTAAATATTACACAACATTGTCCTCCTTCGTAAATGCATGAACTAAGGAACAGAGCAGATTGCATTGTCTGAAGCTGGAGAGCAAACTCCTTGCATTGCTTGCAACTGTCTCCAAGCTCAAATGTGTAAAGCTGCAAGAGCAACCCCTAGGTGCTCCTACCACTCCCTAAGGAAAACAGATGCCTATTTAATTACAGCCACTCACCCTTTTCCCTGGCACAGACCCATTAATATTTCCAGATATCTCCTTTATCATGAAGGAAAGCCCTGATGATTTTGACAGGAGACACTGGAGAGGGCTGGCTCTGCTCCCTACCTGATGGGAATGCTGTTGCGCGTCCACGTAATCTCTGGCTCAGGGTACGACTCCACTACACAGACAAACTTGGCGACGTCCTCTACCAGCGCATCCACAGTTTCCAGAGGAGTGCTGATCAAGGGAGCTGTGTGAAGGAAGTGAAAATGTTAAAAAATGTTAAAACCTCCTGGTGCCTCCCACACCCAGGCATGCATCCTGCCAGACCCCTTTGGTGGAGGCAACAGTGTCCCTGCAGGGTCATCCATGGCTTTTTCCCCAGTGCAGAGGTTCTTTGCACAGCCTCCAAGCATTTGCTGTAACACAGGTCCCTCCACATTTGCAGCTGCAGCCTTCTGTTGTTTGCATTTTCCCTCGTGCTCTCTCTATAGGGTGCAAAACAGAAAGACCCAAGCGTGGGGCAGCTGCAGCAAGCCCAGTGCATCCTGTGTTTCTAACGCTTCCCTCCCCCAAGGTGCACAGCTCCAGGTGTCATACTGTGAGGACACAGGTGAGGCTGTCCCCCTGCTATGGGGGTAACATTGCATGGGCTGGAAGTGCAATGAACAGCATGCAAGTTGAAGCTAAGATGACCCGCCCCTGGAGTGGGCACAGAGCCTCCTTACTAAAGCATAATGCATGAGATTTGGGCTTCTTCATCATTAATACAGGGTTTGTTCCACTCAACTATTTCTCTTTTTTAAAAAAAACCTGTTATACAGCACTATATTTTTCAAAGGCAGGCTCGTAAAGGCCCTTGAGGTCTTCCAGATTTGTGGCATGACTAGCACACAATCTCTTTTTCTCACCTTTTCTAACTAAGTAGCACCAGGGTTAGAAGTCTAATAGCTGTGTCTGATGCTTATTATCACAGACCTGTCATCATATATTATTTGAATGTATCTTTAGAAACATTTTCCATCGCCCTAGCAAAAGACTTGAAGCACAGCTGGAAGGGATCAAAGGGTACCCCTAGTGAATTGTTTTCCCTGAGCATGGTATGCATTGCAGCCATTGCCTCCGAAGACGCTTGAATGACTTTTAATCTATGGCTGCAAGGGACACACATCCAATATTTGTTGGACTGGATTTCATTGACAGCTGTGCTGAAATGACCTGGTTTCATACCATATTCCTGAAACACCACCTTGAAAATGTACAGCTGATGCAGGAATCTTCCTGTTCCTCGCTGACTGTAGCAGTATGTGGCACACTGTGTGTCTTTTCACCGGAAAATCCTGCCTGCACTGTATCTGCTGGCCCTCCTCAATACAGTAAGATTTAATAAAATAAACTACATCCATTTTACCCCTCCCTCCTAAAAAAAAAAAAGGCAAAATACAAGACACTTCAATTTAAGTGACCGAGAATAATAGAAAGGCTTTACCTCAATGCTTTTTCAGTTTACATGGGAGTAAAAACTAGATTGTCATTGGAGTTCAACTGGAACGAAGCTAGAGGAAGAAAGGATCGACTTCCACTATCAGGTTTATGTAAAAGTCCTAACACTTTTGAAATGTCATTAGAATGAATCTGCCTCAATAATATTTCTAGATTATATGACTTCAGATTGCATAATTGGTAATGACTTTACGTCTATAAAAAGATCTTAAAACTACAGCTAAGGTAGCACTAAAGATTATATTAACTAAACGTTAGTTAAAACACACTTGTGTCAGATTCATCGTTTAAGATCACTGCTTCAAATTCTATCAGGCTTCAACTTACTGAGCCTTTTTGGGTCACACTAGGTAGAAGTAATCATCCATACTGCACCCCAGATGAATCCCACACCAGTGAAACCAAATGGAAGATTTTCATAACACCTAAATTTCCCTGCTACTGAAGGTTGTCTTAGGAGAGTAACCTCCACCGATGGCTATCTTGTCTACTTCAAAGGGGACGTTGTTATTTTATGACAGAGTTTATCAGGTTTTGATGGCATTAAGCCTGGCTGAAATGGGGTTTTACAATCTAATTTTATATAGTATGTTTTTACTGCTGTTGTCCGCATGCCTTGATCTCTGGAAGGATGCTTTTTTAACCCTGAGAAATGTAAATTTTTACAGTAACCAAAATTCAAAGCAACCAGTTTTATAACTGTGTTATCATGATAAGCGTGGCCATTCTCACAACTAATAAAGTTAGATTTGTACCAAGAGCCAGTGTGCATCACGACAGTATTTTATTCTTTGGGCAATCAAGGGCTGTCAGTTTTATTCATTAAATAAATTCTCTAGCAACAGTTAAGTACTTTTATGGTATCTCTTTTATTCAACAGATGACAGAATTATCCTTAGCACTATTGCTTACACCGGTCTGATCTGGCATCTCCTTAAAGCCAGTGCGCAGCCCTTGGGGCAGAATCAAGCCCATACTCATAGAAAATACTGTCCAAACTGACAGCACTTTAACTGTGGTAAAAGCAGAAAGGGAACTTTTTTTTTACAGCTGCCTCCCCAAATTCTACATCCTCGAAGAGCAACCGTGACAGCCACAGCGATGTGTCATTTTCTCCTATGCTCTTTTTTACCTTTCCGATATTAAAACCGAGTGCTGGGCCAGCAGGGAGGTGAAGGCAATGCTCCTGTAGCCAGGCTGAGGGGGCAGAGGGCACGAGGCTGAAGGACGCGTGGTGCGTCTGCAGGGGACAGCAAGCGGTGGAGCACGCCGCCATTTTGTCGTGAGGTGGCGAGAGAGCCCCAAAATGGCTGAGATGGTGTCTGCTTCTAAAAGTCGTCCAAAAAGGTCAGGTGTTAGTGTCAGTCCGTGTTTTCTCAGGAAAGCAATCAGAACTTATGATGCCTTCATTACCAGATTTTAACGTGGGAAAATAAAATCTAAACAATGTATACAAACATATGTATCAGCATATAGAAATGGCGCCAGACCTTTCCGTGTGCATCCGTTGGGGCTCTCTGACACTTTTTAGGTAGCCTGTGGCTTTAAATAACATTGAAAATCAATTAATTTATATATCTGTAAAGCCACACTGGTGCCATTTTTCTGGATGTCAGCTGTAGTTTCTGGAGATATCAAAATGACCCAAGGCCAGTCACAGGGCCCATGAGAAAGCCAAACCCTCTTCTATCCCCAGCCCACCAGAAGCTCCCAAATTGCTCAGCTTCGGTTTTGGATTCTCACTTTCAAAACAAGACGAGCAAGGCAAACAAAACAAAGCAGAAAACAGAACCAGTCTCCCCTGCAGCATTGCAGACACATGGAGATACTGCAGTTCCTTTGGTCAAAAGCCGCTCATTCATGTTTCCAGCTAACGCTGCAAAACCTCTAAAGGACACCGCTGGGCTGTAGTCGCATTTCAACCTCTCTCAGGGAACAAGGCAATTCAGCCACCTGTGACATTTTAAGAAAGGATGTGTATCTCTTCATTGCACTGCGCCACCAACAAAAATCAATCCGCTTCCTCATTCTTTTTCTTGTCTCTCCAATCCTGTCTTACCACAGCTTTCAAAAAGACCTGGGTTCAGCAACTTACTTTAGTGTCTTAGGAAAAAATTAACATTCTTATTTCAAAACTTTTTTATAAAGAAGTGACCTTCTTTTTTTTCCATTTTGAGGTCAACCAGACTAACAATTGTAAGAGCACAGCCCCGCAAGAGCAGTGGTTCTGGCCTAACAGGTGAATATTGGCATCCTGCTTGAGGTTTTTTTTGTTTTCCTGAAGCTGCAGAGTTTCTGGTATACTTTGAATGGCTCCTGACAACCACCATGCAGCAAAACCTTTTGTCCACAGGGTTACCAGACTGTATGTCCAGAAGACTACTTTTGCCCTTTGTCCCTCAAAGACTTTTCTAAGCAGGTTTTATTCTGTTCTTGTGTTGGCTAAAAGTATGAGTGCTTGTGTCCATGTGTGTGTGCACACAAGAGAGGAAGAAGGTATAATAACTTTTATGTTGTATGCAATACAAACCATGCATATTTGTATTTCTATACATAATGCTCTGTAAAGACATTATAGCTATTCACTTCTTTGAGCTTTATATATTTATAAGCATACATAGGCAAGCAGAACACCACTAGTCTTGGGCTACTAGCCGTTAAAACCTGTAAGTTTCCTTTGACATGAGAAATGTCCATCCCACCCAGGCTGAACCCCAAAGTCTCCCCTGCCCATTGCAACGGGACTATGTGTCCTTCCTAGACAAAGAACCTTCAATCCCAGACACAATTATGAGATTATTTTCACTGCTATCCTTCTAAAAGCAGTGAAGTGACCACCAAAAGCAGCACATTTTTGTCCCTTCTGGGAACGCTACCACACCACCCAACCCACCATTACCAGAGACGCCTTCCCCTTTGCAAAACCTCCTTCAGCAAGTGGCAGAAGCAGAACAGGGCAAAAGCCCCTCCAAGCAAACCTTTTGGGAGCGTGTCGGCCAAGCTGAGGGCTGCCAGGGTGAGGACGTGCACCAGGGGCACCTTCAGCAGGTCATTCATATTTGATACAGAAGGCATCTGGCTTCTTCAGGCGAGGCGTGCAGAGCTCCTGGCCGGCTGCATTTCGGATGGCAGTGCGCAAGCAGAGCTTGTCCGCTAATGACGGAGCAGGGTCTGTGGGATCTAAGTATAATCAGGAATTCTCCCACCCGGCAGGGGTGATGGACGTGGCCAGCTGGTGAGTATCCACTTCGGTCAGTGTGAAAGCGTGGGGCTCGTGAAACAAGAGAAAGCAAATCCCTTCTGAATTCCTTCTAAGCAAACAGAGAGGAGTACAATGGGCAAATGCATTTCCAGGGCAGTACCCTACCCCAGCGCTGCAAAGTCACCAGGCATTTATTTCAGCACTCTGTAAGTGCAGTAGTGGAAAAAATGCTTGCCACTGGATTTTCATTCAGCCTAGTCCCCCTCTTTTTTGTTTTTTCTCCTCTCTCTCTCACATGCACTCCCTCTGTCTTATTATAAACTTTGATGATTGGCTGCAATATGCCACCTGTTGCCCTGCTGATAGCATTTCTTTTCTTAACAGATGCATTTGCTGGAGCAGGAGAGGTTGGCATTGGGGGATGAAAGTGCCCTTCTTTGCCAAGGAGACTGTCGGTTTTTGAGAACTGCTGCAGCACACTGAAAAAGCAGAGCCTTGTCCTGGAAACAGACCCCGAAACGAGTGAATAACCACAGTGGGAGCGACCCTTATACCCTGGGAGAAAAGGAGCATTTCATTTCAACATCAGCAGCAGCCCAGGGGATTTGGGCATGGGTAGAGGCATTGCCATAGGGAAATATAACTATTGGGTACTGACATTATTAATCCCTCAGAAATATCTTATTATCCACCAGGTTTCTGCCTAAAGAGAAAGACTGAAAATGAGAGCTTATTTTCTAGGAAGCTTTAGAGGAGCATCAGACTTGCGGCAATCTCCTGACTAACTCTGTCTTGCCCCATCCTAGCACAGCGGTCTACATGACATCATCCTTTTAAAAAATGTCAAGTCATTTGCACTCCCTATTTTTCCAGCATAAATATTTGTATGAAGAGTGTTTGCAATCAGTCTTGCCTCTGTGGAAAGGCTGATGTGGGGGCAACATCTGCATGCGCAGAAGAGAAAAAGATGAGTAATCAGGCTGGGGAGAATCTAATTGATGATGATGCCCTGGGAACATGACATCAGATACTTTTCATCATGTTATCAGCAGAGCAGATGTGAGCTTTGCACTAAAAGGCATGGTTTGAGGAAAGGGAATGTGCAGTCATAACACATCACAGTAAAAGGTACTTAGAGATCTCTGGAATTTCCTTATTTGATGAACCTCTCAGTTTCAACCACTTCTTAACAGTCGTTTCTGCAATAAATGTACATAGTTCAGCAATGCTTCCTCTGAGGAGCAAATGGAGTAAAGCTGGCCAGAGCTATGTGTATGTGAATCCCAATGGTTTGGCATGGTGTGATAATGGCAGTGTTACTTCAGGGACACACAACGGCTGACTAGGAGCAAAGATCCCTAGACAAGTGCTCCTCTGAAGATGAATAAAGGCAGACGCACTCGCCGAACATGTGTTAAAGATCTTCCAGGAATTCTGGAGCTAGTAACAACAACAAAGCAAAACAACAAGACAACAATGAAACAACAATAATCCTACCAGGGAACAGAGAAATCCTAACTTATGGCTGAACTTACAAATATTTCTTTTATTTCGTTTAAGTCCAAACACATCCAATTAATCTGCTCCATAGAAATGCAACTTGGTCTTTTAGGGTAAAATTCTCTCCACGGAGGGACTTGACCAAAGACCTCTACATCACTGGATTCCTGTCTGGACTGTGTTATGAGAGCTTTGAATCTGCAACATCCCATACAAGTCCAAAAATTAAGCTTTCCCTTTTACTTGCCAGTTACAGCAATTTAGAAATGACACTGACAGCGATGGCTGTTAAATGTTAATAATGTCTTTGCATTTTTAGGATTACCAAACTACTCCTAACATCTCATTTCCTCTGCTTTATAAATTTTTATTAAGGACCACTGTAAGCTACACTGGTCTACACTGAAAGGATGTAAATTTACATTATAAATGCGAGTAGAGGGGATACACGTGCACAAGATAGAGTTATTTTGTTCTCCAGTTACACATGACATACAGCTAACAAACAATATATATGGGAAGCTGGTGAACATCTGTGTCCATCATGGAAAGATGTTTCTGTACAGAGTGAAATCAGTGGAAGTGAAATACCGGTGACATCAAATTTTCTTTGATTCCAAGCATTTTCCAGGCTTACCTTATAAAAGTAAAATGCTCCTTTAATTTTTACTCCCAGTAGTTATGAGTTTGCTGTTTGTTAGTTGTTGGGGGGGGTTCTAACAAAGCTGATATGCATACAGTTTACAGCTAATTGTTATTTACATCTGTTGTTATTTGTAGTCACGCCCCAAGGCCTTTGCCGAGACGAGGTCCCAGCAGCCTACGCAACTAATAACTAGAAGCAGTCCCTGGCTTTCAGGGGTTGCAGGTGAAGCTTTGTTCTCACAAAGATTTGTGCACCTGCTTAGCTCTCTACACTGCAAACACCTCCACAGAAGTCAGTTCATGAAGTTCAGGATGCAAAGACAAGGTGTGCTGCAGCATTCATTCATCTAGCTACCTTTTTTTCCCTTTGCAAATTGTTTGCATGGTGACTTTTAATAAATACGATAGTCAGAATTTTTGAGAGTTTGCTGAATAGTTCAGATAATTGTCTTCCCATTAATTAATTGCTTGGCATCTTCCCACCATGATGAGGAGAAATTTGCCCTTTACTCTTTGCAGGAAAGGATGATGCCGGACCTTTTCTCGGTACACCTCTTCTCTCTCTCCTTCTTCTAAGTGCTCTGCTGGAGGCTGAGAGTTTTACACGCTAATGCAACATGATTTGATCACCAGATACTTTGAAAACTGCCTTTTGCCCTACATCACCATCTGGGTTCTATTCTCCCTTGGTAGTCCCAGATGTTCATCCAAGTAGACAGGCTAGGGCAGGTATTTCTAGCAGAAACTGTCCAGGCAGGGAACAAACTCCTTCTACAGAGGGACCCAATGAAGTTGCTTTGGCAATGGCCCCAGTCACCCAGCGTGTGGTGATTCACACAGAAATATCCAAATCAGCACTAATCCAGCCTGACCAGTGTCCATTTTAATGAAGTGTTGTGAATGTCTGTGCTGGCAACCTACTTGAGTAAATACACGGACAACCAGTCTTCGGCTTTGGTGCTGCCGGTCCTGCAGCCACCCTTTTGAACACAACAGACACATAGTCTCTGAAGCATGAGACTAGATCTGAGGCCTTATACATCAGGCCAGGCTATTTTTACTTGCTTTTCAGCAGCAATAAGAATCCCTAAAAATGACTAAGTCGCTAGTATTCAGCTCAATTCATATATGTAACAATCAAGCCAGCAAAAGAGTGAGCCTTAACCTGCCAGGTAACAGATGAGTACAGACACAAAAGACAAGTGGTCTTCAAACCCCAACCCCAACCTTGAAACCCAGGTTCCAAGTCTCTTCCACTCAGCCCAGAGCCCAGAAGGACCTATACTGTGTGGCCGTTCCCTCAGATACATGAACGCACATGCCCCTGCATGCACTAACCCTGTGCTTGGTGTCCCTTTGCTGCTTCCCTCCTCAAAGCTGCTGGCCTCTCAGATACAGGCGTCCTCACACAACATTTGACAGTGAAACCCATCTGACCACCTGGGCCTGCTCGTGTGCCTTCCTACACAGAAATCAGTCAAGGTCACATTGCCATAGAGATATGGGCACAGCAGTCGTCCCAGTCTGCCCTGCCCACACTGTCGGCAGTACCTAAATGCAGCACACACTCCTGCGTGTATGTCATAGAAAGGGCATCTCTGACAATGCATGCTAGCATTTGGGGAGGAGATAAACATTGGGTTAGCTGTTTTATTACACATTGCAACCCGCTTCTTTACAGTAGTCCTGAGTGGAAGCAGCTGTTACAGCCACCGGCTCCAAGGGATTTAACCCAACCTGCAACACATATATGGGCAGTAAGGTATCATTGCTTGTACCAGTAATAGCAAATGCTGTATTCAGCGTAACATGTGAGGGAATAAGCTATGCTGCTGCAGTTCTTCACCCTGCACTTGTGGGGTTTTGGTTTGGTTTGGGTTTTTTTTGGGGGGGGGGGGGTTAATTGTCAAAATGAAAGAAAGATTTTTCTCTAAAGTCCTTTAAGAAACACAGACCCGTCCCAAAGCCCCACTTACTGTGCTTAAGTTGCAGGGTTTCAGGCATGCTTGGCTTGGCCTCTGCCCTCAGCCATCTGGACCAATCTCTGATCTCCTACTAATATTTCAACACTTACTGAGCTCTGATGCTTGACTCTAAAACGGTCCCCTTTTCTTCTCTTGACATGTTGTGGGTATTGGGAAACCTAAGATTTGCATTAATTCTTGCTATCATCTTGCTATAAACTGTCCTGTAATTTTTCAGCTCACAAGATCTGCCGGTACTGACTAATGCTCATCTAATCTGCTGTCCCATGTTTTGTGGTGGGGCAAAATTATGTAGTGTTATGAGATGTGATTACTGTAGTGAAATAGTGTAAATAATGTAATGAAAGAAGAAGATCCCTTGTCAGGCAGCTAGCTAACTGTGCACTGGCTTATAGAGAACAGATGGTCAGCTGAATGCAGGTGTTTTGTAATAAATGAAATTAATTTCTCTGCTGGGAGACCTGCCCCCCATTTCACCTCACTGCCCAGAGCAGCCAGCCCCAAACCATAACATAGGGAAATCTCCCACCCTTGATAATCCTCTCCTCTCCGCAAGGATAATGCTGTTGCTGTGCTGAGCTGGGGTGACTCAGAGATGCCCATGTTTCCCCAAACAGGGATGCCACAGGCAAGCACACCCCTTGCTCCCCAGCCTCTGATTTCAGTCCTTCATCCTCTGGCTGCCGTCAGAAGAGTGCAGTCTGTGGGGCTAGGGTGGCTGCTGA